GGGTGGGGGGGGGCGGTTACAAAATTGGGAGATTTCCTTTGTATTGAAGTGATATTTTGGGCCTTGGGCAAGTGTATGCTGGGTTTGGGGAGTACTTAGGGTTCCCTGAGCTTAGAGGGTGCCTTGGGGTTTGGGTTTCTCTTATAATGTGACAGGTTCGGTGTGTTGTAGGGGCCTCTTTCGTGGTTTGGGATGTTTGGTGGGTATATGATTTGAGGAGCTTACGGAGAGACTTAGAAGCCAAGTAAAGAATACAGGAGTTCCAATTCTGGAGTAAGAATGCCTGGGTGTTTGCCTGTCTGTCCCTCCTGTCCCTGACTTCAGATTTGGGGTTTATCCGTTCTGTGCCTCATCTGCACACAGGGTCTAACGCACTGCCTGCTTCTTGGGGACCAGGAGGATGAGCAGGAATTGTTAGAACAGAACCTAATTAGCTCGCAGTGACCTCCAGTAAGCACCTGTCTGCTATTAAAACATGCGTAGGGTTTCTTGGGGGGCGGGGGCGGAGGCGGGAATGTTCCTTAGATGAGAAATGTGTGGTTAGTTTTATGTATTAGGGAGCTTTTCTGTGTGAGTTATTTTGCGATTTTGGAGGCTTCTGTGTAATTAGGGAATAACATGTGAAGGTTTAGAAAGAGTTTGAGGTGAGCATGGGATTTCAGAAAACTGGACTTTTCCGGCATCTGTGAGTTTGGGAAATTACTGTGTAGGAGTTCCTGGTAGGCCTGGGATTTGTGAGGGTTTCCTTGAGATTGGGGTCTTCTGTGCTGGAGGGGATATTTATAGGTTTGGAAGTTTAGAGTTTGGAAGGGTCTGGATATTTTAGGGGGCATTGATATTCTGGAGATGAGGATAGGAACTGATTGGAGGATTTCAGGGGGTGGTTGAGATGGATAGCACCTTTGCTGTGTTAATGCCCATTCCTGGGCATTTAGATGTATTGGTGGTTAGTAAACTTAGGCATCTATAGGTCTTAGAGGCTGTGTGTAATTTTTTTTTTTTTAAGTAAGGAACTGGAATTTCAGCAGGGGCTGTAAGAATTTTTGTGGTAGGTGGGATTAGGGATAGGGCGGTAAAGATTTTTAGGATTGGAACTGTGTTTGTGACTGGTGTCTGTGGGTGTTTGGAGGCTGTTGATTTTGAATGGACCATGAAAGGTAGGGTTTTAGTGGTATTTGTGGAATTGCCTGTATTTTACAAGGATAGCCTGTACTTCAAGGGTCAGCAAACTTTCCATAAAGATCCAGATAATGAATGTTGTAGGCTTTGCGAGACCATGTGTTCTCTGTTGCAGTTACTCAACTCTTCCGTTGTAGCATGAAAGCAGCCATAAACAAATAAGCATGTTTTAATAAAACTTTATTTGCAAAGACAGGCTGTAGGCCAGCCTTAGCCCACAGGCCGTAGTTTGCTGACCTCTGGTCTATAGACATGTGGAAGGTTTGAAGTCTGGAAGGTATTTTGGTTTCGAAATGTCTGGAGACAGATGGGTCAGGGAAGGATTGAGACAGGGATATGCTACCTATTGTTCCTGCAGTGAAAAGTGGTCATGTCTGACTCATAAGTACATTTGCCTCCAGATTAGGTCATGCATACAAAATTGTTGCAAAATAAAATGATCATTATTGAGAGAGCCTGGCCCTAGCTGGTTTGGCTCAGTGGATAGAGCATCTGCCTGTAGACTGAAGGGTCCCAGGTTCAATTCCAGCCAAGGGCACATGCCTGGGTCGCGGGCTCGATCCCCAGTATGGGATGTGCAGGAGGCAGCCAATCAATGATTCTCTCTCATCATTGATGTCTCTATCTCTCTCTCCCTCTCTCTTCCTCTCTGAAATAAATAAAAGTATATTTTTAAAAAAAAGAAAGTGAGAAAGAGCTTGAATTGAAAAGTCCCGAAAGCAAGTTTGAGGGCCTGGTCTTGCACTGTGTACCCTTCCCCACTCTGACCCTCAGTTACCTGTGCAACTTGGAGAGCCTAGACTAGAACAGGCTTTCTTTTTTATTTTTTTACTGAATATATGTTTATTGATTTCAGAGCGGAAGAGGGAGAGAAACGTCAGTGATTAGAGAGAATCATTGATCGGCTGTCTCCTGCACACCCCACACTGGGGATCAAGTCCGCAACCCAGGCATGTGCCCTGACTGGGAATTGAACTGTGACCTCCTGGTTCGTAGGTCGACACTCAACCACTGAGCCATGCTGGCTGGGCTAGAACAGGCTTTCTTATCCCAGGGTCTGTAGATTTGCCTAAGGGAATTACCTGCACAGTATTGTGCAAGTGTATGCATTTTTCTGGGTGGGGATACACGGCTTTAAGAAATCCTTAAAGGGCCCCCTGAGCTGAACAAAGGGAGGAGCCAGTTTCCTCAGGGCCTGTCAGGCTCGGCCTCAGATTCCCCCTTCCCAACCCATCTCGTTCTTTCTGTGGGTTTGCGTAGATAGCTGTGGGCCGGGCTGGGAATTCTTGTCTTTTCAGGAACTGGCTCCTAGATGAGCAAACAGAAAAAGGAGGAGCTGTCTGTCAGGTGGTATTTTCACTGAAGTTTAAGATTATGACAGCAAGAGACCTCTATAGGGTTGGAGCAAGGTGCCTTCTCCACTCATGCTCCTGGTGTTAAAACAGAGGTCCCATCCCCTCTGCAGCTCTCCATTTGCTCACTTGCAGTGGGGCAGGAAAAGAGTTCTTGGTGGTCTCATTTGGTCACTTTCAACGGGACAGGTGGAGGTCAGGGTGGTACTGGGAGGGCAGGCACCTCCAGCTTCCCAACCTCCTCTTTCCCGTGTCCAGGTGGCCCGTGGAGGACCCCACCACCATCCAGGTCCTGAGACGCAGTGACCCCCGCCCATCTGCCACCATTCCCCAGAATGGACCGTGGCGGCCTCCTGCCCTTCCAGCTGTGGTGCCCCCGGCCCTTTGGCACCTACTCACAGAACCAGCCGCGCCCACCTTCCACAGCCCTCAAGCCGTCAGCCTGTTCGGAGTCAGGCAGCAGGGCTGAGCCTGACCATGGGCCTGCCCTCTCAGAGAACACGCCACCCGCCTTGGCCACGGAGGCCCCTTCCTCCCAACCTGCCCCTCTCCTCTCCGCAGCCGCTGCTGGTGATGAGGGTCGAGTCCTGCTGGACACGTGGTATATGTGGACCTGCTCTCTGTGGCTGAGATGGTGGCCCTGGTGGAACAGCGGGCTGCCCTGGCCCTGCAGAACTACCCCCACCCCGGCACCCCAGCGCCTGTGGTCTTTGTGTCGGCAGAGCAGGGTGGTTCTGCCAAGGGGCTAGGGTCTGAACGGCGGTCTGGTGGCGGGGACTGCAGCCGTGTGGCTGAGGCGGTGGCTCATTTCGAGGCCCAGCGGGACAACCCTCCAGCCAAGGGCCTCCGCAAGGAGGAGAGGCCTGGGCCAGGCCCCGGGGAGGTACGCATCGCCTTCCGTATCTCCAATGGCCGAGAGCCCCGTGCACCAGACGGCAGCTTGCCCAACGGGAGTGGGGGCCGGCCAGGCTGTGCCTACCCGGGCAGCCCAGGACCAGGGGCCCGAGCCAAGGACAAGATTACCTGTGACCTGTACCAGCTCATCAGTCCCTCTCGGGACGCCCTCCCTAGCAACGTGGAGTTCCTTCTGGCCAGGGCGGATGAAGCCAGCGAGGGGGAGGCCCCAGCCCCTGCCAGGCCCGAGGACACTCCCCCGGCACCCCCTCCACCCCCTGCCCGGGACTGCGGAGCATCCGGCTTCCACGTGGATGTGGTGGTGACAGGCGTGGTGGACGAGTGCATCTTCTTCGGCAAGGATGGTACCAAGAATGTGAAGGAGGAGACGGTGTGCCTGACGGTCAGTCCTGAGGAGCCACCCCCACCTGGCCAGCTCTTCTTCCTCCAGTCCCGGGGGCCGGACGGGCCTCCCGAGCCACCCCCAGCAGACTCGCCGGCCACTGCACCGGGCCCAGATGATGCTGAGGGCACAGCAGACACCTCCCTGTGCCGCCTGTACCGGCACGTGTCACACGACTTCCTGGAAATCCGCTTCAAGATCCAGAGGCTGCTGGAGCCACGGCAGTACATGCTTCTGCTTCCCGAGCACGTGCTGGTCAAGATCTTCAGCTTCCTGCCCACCCGGGCCCTGGCCGCCCTCAAGTGCACCTGCCACCACTTCAAGGGCATCATCGAAGCGTTCGGTGTTCGGGCCACAGACTCGCGCTGGAGCCGAGACCCCCTCTACCGCGATGACCCTTGTAAGCAGTGCCGCAAGAGATACGAGAAGGGCGACGTGTCACTCTGCCGCTGGCACCCTAAGCCCTACCACCATGACCTGCCTTACGGACGCTCCTACTGGATGTGCTGCCGCCGAGCCGATCGAGAGACACCCGGCTGCCGCCTGGGTCTGCACGATAACAACTGGGTGCTGCCCTGCAATGGGCCTGGTGGGGGCGGGGGCCGGGCTGGCCGGGAGGAGGGGAGGTGAAGCCAGGGGAGGGGGGCAGCCCACCATGCCCGCCCCTCTCCGTGGGTGCCGAGCGCCAGGATTTGGTCACCAGCCCTACCCCCAGTCCGGGCAGCGTTCATCCCCCTCTAGACTGAGCTGGGGTTCAGGGGGATGACCGAAGAAAGCACTCTGACTGACCCCTATTGGTTTTCTATTCTTGAGACCCCGGGGCCAGGGACCCTCGTGGAGGGTGTTTTTATAGCATCTCAAGTTTCTTCTCCATTCAGCCCTAGCACCCCCTTCCTGCCACTCGACACCCCAGGGACCCACCAGCAGGGAGCAGACGGCAGCTAATTTTGGTACTACTTAAGGGTTCCCCCATCCTGGCCCCCTTCTGCTCCCCCCTAGCCATCCCCATTCTCTGCTCTGGGGCTGTGTTCTCTCTCCCAAGAGGCTGCAGCACCCAAGGCTGGTACCTCTCCTAACCTGTGCCAGGGCTCACCTCTTCAGGAATCGGGGGCCATTCGATCACGGATCAGATTAGGTACGTTTCATGGCAGCCTGCCATTTCTACATGTTTTCCCCATTAAAACAATAAAAATCCGTTTTCCCCTTAACCTCAAGCTACTAGTCTCTCCACTTCCCCCAAAGGGGAAGAAAAAAGAAAGTTGAACTATAAAAATTTCCCTCCTCCCATTATTTAAGTTGTTTACCATCACCACCGCTTTAAAAAAAAAAAAAGCTGTGAAGCCCTTTGCCTCGCTCTTGACGGCGTGGGGGGCCAGTGGGCAGGGCTGTGGGTTTGAGTTTGGTTGTTTTCCTTCTGCTCTGGGTACTTGTTCAGGCTTTAGGGCCTCCACCCTGAGCCACATGTTTCTTTAGGAAAAGCCTTTGGTTAACGGAGACCTTGATTTTTCAGGCAATTGGGTCTGGGGCATTTTTGTTTGTTCTGTTTGGGGTTTGTTTTTTTGTTGTTGTTCTTGTTTTTTCCTCCCTGTGGTTCTGGAAGCCTCTGGCGTGTGGCATCTGACCAATTTTGAATTGGTCCTTTCTATAAAATCCATATTTATAAGGCTGAGCGCGGACTGGTTTGTATACTGTTCAGGGAGGGGACTTGGGAGAGAAGGGAGTCAGGGGTCCAAGCATGGTGAGGTGGAAAAAGCTGAGAAAAGGATCCTTAGCCAAGTCCCTTAGCATGAAATTATTTTTGACTCTTCATCTGTGTCAGTTTGGACTCAACTCTCAAAATAGTAGTAGCTTAAACAAGATAGTTTTTATTTCTTTAGAAATCCAGTATTGGGCAGGTATGCTGGCCCTGAAGTCATCAGGAACACGTGGTCCAAGGTGACTGCTAGAACTCTAGCCATCACCGTTTTGTAGGAAGGGAAGCCCCCTTCCTTCCAAGAGCACTACACTGTACAGTAGGTCCTCAAATTAACATCATTTCATTCGACGTCATTTGCTTCTCACTGGTCAGAACTTAACCAAATGGAAGGACTGCAAAGGAGACTGGGAAATGTAGTCTTTTAGCTGGATGTGTTATGCCCAACAAAAGAACTCTTACTAAAGATCCCTATCATGAAAGTTTTAAAATATCCATTTGATTATTTACTTAATAAAAAGGGATTAAAACATTTAAAAAATTCAAGTATAAAAGAAGAGGGAAAATAGATTTTGAGAGCAGTAGCTGGCATTCTTTGATATTCTTATCAGGGAATCAAAATTTCCAGAGAGACTAGGATATATCCATAGTAGTTATTCAATGCTTAGATTTTAGAATAAAAGAGACCTGGGTTTGAATCTTGGCTTGATTTTATGGGACTTCTGTTCCCTGTGGAGGGAACCAGATTATTGGGACTCTGCTGCTGAAAATAGTAAGTTAAATATCTTTAAAGCATCAAATAGCCAATAAAATACGGTTAAGGACACACTAAGCCCATAAATTTAAAGAAAAGGTACATGGGGTCCTGAAGCCACTTTTTGCTCTGAGGGCATCTGCTGACGTGGACAAGCGTGGGTGTCCTGTTTGTAGCCTTACTGGGGCAGGCAGAAGTCAAGGCCAAAGCCTGCCCGAGGTGAGGAATCTAACAGCTGAGATCCCACTGAACCGTAGGCTGGGTGAGGGTGACCCAGAAGATTGCAGAGATGTTCTGAACACTGAGGGGAGCACAGACCAAAGAAAGAAAAAGGTGGACCTGAAAACTGGCGGGCGCAGGCTGGCTCTGGCTCGGGTTTGCGGCTCGGTTTGCATCAGTGATGTTTCCCAGGGTACATCTAGCGGAGATGTTTGGCAGAAACAAACACACATCCTCTGGTGTAAGGAACTATGCCCAAGAGGCCCCCACACATAATTTTTAGACAATGAGTAGTATACAGTCAAATAACCAAATATGCATGGAAATACACCAGCACGAGCAAGAACCAGCAAAACAACAGAGCAAAAACAAGCTTCAGATGATGAGACTCCGTCATAGATGAGAATACAACAAGAGCTTGCAAATGCCTGCAGGGAACTCAGAGTTAAATAATAGCCTAGCCAATATGAAAGGCAAAAGCCCACCAACGTGTGATAATCAAAAGTAAAAACTCAAGTGTGGCTAAACAGCAAATTAGACACAACTGAAGACTTATTACACCAGAGATAAGTCCACAAAGTAGCAGACAAAAGCTTAATATCTTTAAAGCATCAAATAGCCAATAAAATACGGTTAAGGACACACTGGCTGGTGTGGCTCAGTGGTTGGGTGTTGACCTATGAGCCAGGAAGTCATGGTTTGATTCCTGGTCAGGGCACATTCCCAGGTTGCAGACTCAATCCTCAGTGTGGGGCGTGATTCTCTCTCATCATTGATGTTTCTTTCTATCCCTCCCTCTCCTTTCCTCTTTGAAATCAATATATATATATATTTTAAAAAGTTATAGAGGATAGAGGGGAAAAGTATTTAATTGGCATTCTAGAATCAGAAGCAAGGATAGTGCAAAGATATTTAAAGATGTTCTTTACTCCAGGCTGATAAGACCCATAAACCCAACCAGTCAAGCAGGATGAATAAAAAGAAATGTACCCCTAGACACACTGCAGTGAATGAGCCCAGCTATGTGATCTTCGACAATGGGTTTCTCTGAATCTCAGTATCTTAAAATGAGAATACTGATGGTTCCTCAAAAGATTGGCATGATACATCTCATCCGGAGCGCTCTACTGTGCTTACTAAATACACCTAAGTGGCCCCTTCAGAGCACGAGGCTGGGGATCCCCAGTTTGGGGGACAGATGGATCTGGGGAAAGCAGCAGCGGCAACCTCATCTGTAAAATGGAGCTCACAATCCTTGCCCCGGATTCATGCAAAAACTATTCATCAGGCCCCTTGCCCAGTGCCTGGCGCATGGTGCACCCAACCAGGGTGTCTTGTAGGGAGACAGGCTGGGGATGTAACCGAACACTGCTTCCCCTCTCCAATATGGAGGTGATGTCTCATGTACTTCTCCTTGGCTGGGAGGCTCAAGGGACATGGTGGCCCACAAGAAATGAGCAAACAGGAATCTCCATGTGGTTTGAGAGCCTCCGGCTGATGTCTGTCAATTTTCCTTTCTGAACTCTGGACTTCCGCCAGTTCCATCTCTAAGAGGTTATTAGTCCGTCCATCCACCCACCCCCAACCCCACTCTAACTTGCACCCAATTAAAAGCCTCAGGAAGAGCTACTTTTTTTTTTTTTTTTTTACAGAGAGAAAGGGAGAGGGATAGAGAGTTAGAAACATCGATGAGAGAGAAACAGCGATCAGCCGCCTCCTGCACACTCCCCACTGGGGATGTGCCCATAACCAAGGCACGTGCCCCTGACCGGAATCGAACCTGAGACTCTCTAGTCCGCAGGCCGACGCTCTACCCACTGAGCCAAACCGGTCAGGGCTAGGAGGAGCTACTTTTTGTTAACAATCTGTTGGTCCCAAACGTGTGACTTGGAAGGGAGGTAGGACATGGGGTTAGGAGCATGGCCCTGTGTAAGAATCTGTAAACAACTGGTTCATAAATTTCAGGCCCAACCCCCTCATTTGCAAAATGAGAACCGAAATCATACCTACCTCAGGGTTTGGGGGGAGACTGAGTTGCTATATATAAAGTGCTCATGGTGCCTGCCCTGTAGTTACCCAATAAAAGTCAGCTACTGTGGCAGAATGTGAATCGAGAACCTTCTCTTTATCCTCTCATTTGATATCCTGAGTTTAAACCCATGAATTCTTGAATCTTCTCCAGCCTTGGGTTGACTCAGGCCAATCAATGCTCACCTTTACTAATAACCCTCCAAACTGGCCTGATATCCCTGCCACCTACCAGGTCTCCACCAAAGTCAGAAAGGTAGGCCCTGGCCTGTGTGGCTTGGTTGGGTGGCATCCCGTGCACAGAAAGGTTTGTGCAGGAATCGAACCCAAGACCCTTTGGTGTGCAGACTGACACTAACCATTTAGCCACACCAGCCAGGGCGGAGCCTGCATTTTTAATAAGTACTCCAGTGGAGTCTGAAAATTAGGTATGGTTGGGAAATACTTCCTCAGGCCATCACTGGAGTTGGAGTTATACCCACCATCTCGCATTCCTGTACCCATAACTTAAGAGACAGGAGGGTTTGGTATAACTAGTTTGCAGTGACCTCTGGCCTGTCTTATTCCTTCCATAAACATACCAGTGTTTCCCAAAGTATCTTCTGAGGTACCTAGTTCTGTGAGGTGTTTCCCAAAAAAGGGGTTCCATGGTGAAATACTTGGGGAAACAATGCATTGTCTTCCCGTTGAAAATTCACATTGTGCAATGAACTCATTTACTGTCTCACCCTTCTTCCTTGATCCCTTCTTTCATGCAACACCTTTAAAGTTCTGCAGAATATGTTTTGCAGAAACACTAGATTATTGCCTGTTGGGTCTGCAGAATCTGGAGTTCTCACGTATTGGCTTCCATCTCCTGCTCCCGCTTAGGAGCACATCCTCTGTGGGCCCCACATGGCACATCCACGTGGGAGCTGGGTTTGGACGGTGCAGTAGCAAGGCTGACACTCTGGAGAAGGAAGTGCCCCCAAAACAACAGCCACAGAGAATTCACTGGGTTGGGTGGTGTTGCGGGTTCATATGCCAGTCCACGGTTTGCTGATTAAAACCAAGAATAGCAGTTGCCCTTGCGAACTTTTTCAGCCCAATGGCTCCCTCAGAGCAGGGCCCAAGCTCTTATTCCTTCGGCTCTCACCCCACCACGGTCTCTTCCATGTCTTTGAAGAGTGGCAGCTCGAGACACTCAAAGGAGAGACGGTCTTCAGTAACGGCACAAGCAGAGCCAAAGGCATTAAACAGGACGAGCCAGCACGGCCGAGGTGGGCCCGGCCTGAGCTCGCTGGCTCCCGGTGCCCCTGCCACACTCCCTGCTGGGTCTCTCTCCTTCAGAGCCAGCCCGGCAGGCTAGAGCCCCAAGTATTCGGCCAGGAACACGGCGAGGATGCGGCTCAGGTTGTGCACCGTAGGGGGGTGCAGATTGGCCTCAGAGTCGTCAGCCGTGTGCCAGACAGAGGGGAAGGGCGTGGAGATGAGGTGGAGCACCGGGACCCCTGTGGGACAGAGAGAACACTCAGGCCCAGCTCCCCCCTCCACTCCGTCAGAAGATAACTGTTCTGGCGCTTGAAGAACTCTGAGCAATCGCTTTAAGTGTGTGAGGGTACATGTTAGTTTAAAAATATGTATCCAGTATATTGTCTTCCTAACACAAATTAAGAGGAACTCAAAATTTAATGCATACAGATGTCTGAAGGAGAAAGGACAGATGTCTATCCTCTCTTTTTCTCTTCTTTACTAAAAGTTAGCACTTTCATAGTATTTGTTCTATTCCAGGCCCTAGTCTATATCACAAATACTCACCATTTTATCCTTATAATTACCCTTTAAGGTGGGCACTATAACTACCGCCATTTTACAGATGTGGACACTGAGGCACAGAGGTAGGCAGAGGGATTTGCCTAAGATCCCGCCTCTAGTAAACAGTCAGAATTTGAACCCAGGCCATGTGTCTCCATGTGCTCCCCCTCCCCCATTTCAAAAATATATTTTACTGATTTCAGAGAGGAAGAGGGAGAGATAGAAACATCAATGATGAGAGAGAGTCATTGCTCGGCTGCCTCCTGCACACCCCCCACTGGGGATTAAGCCCACAACCCAGGCATGTGCCCTAACCGGGAATCGAACTGTGACCTCCTGGTTCATAGATCGACGCTCAGCCACTGAGCCACGTTGGCTGGGCCAGAGTCTGTGCTCTTAATCACTGTTCTGCATTGGGTTTCTGTCCTCAGAGCACTTCTCTCTGCATTTTTCCAGATTTGCTAAATATCAGTCCCACCACTAGACAGGAGGCAGGTGTATTCTGGTGCATCACTGTATCCCTGATAGCTCGCTCAGTACCTGCCTTGGGAAGTATTCGTTGAACGAATCAATAAAAAAGGTGTTATAGTCCAACTGGCGTGGTTCAGTGGTTGAGCGTTGACCTATGAACCAGGAGGTCACGGTTCATTCCCCATCAGAGTGCATGCCCAGGTTATGGGCTCGATTCCCAATGTGGGGCATGCAGGAGGCAGCCAATCAATGATTCTCTTTCATCATACATGTTTATAAGTGAGACACGTGATGCTGGTCTGATGTTGTGGCGTTCACTGTGACATTCACTGCGCCAACTAGCGGTGGGGTATCTGAAGCTGGCTCGTAACCCGAATTTTAGCTCGCAACTCAAAGCAAAAAATTGGCCGAGAGACGACTCGTATCTCGAAAAACTTGTTAGTCGGGACACTCGTAAGTCAAGGCCCCACTGTACCTAATCTTATCTCATCCTCCCAACATTCTGATTAGGCATATACACATAAATGTGCTTTTTATGTGTAAATCTCTTCATTTTCCCAGAAGAAACGGGGGCTCATAGAGGCTACATAATTTGCCTTAGGTCAACCAGTGGTAAGTTGCAGATCCTAGAGCTCAGACCAATTCTGAAACCTACTATCTGAAACCCTCGACCAGATGTCCTGCCCTCTAGCTGTGCATCCGCATCACCTGGGAGTTTTGCAAAACTAGCACAGAGGCCCGAGATGGTGGCTGGGTGGGCCCGAAATGTGATGGGGGGTTCTCCTAAGCTCCTCGGTGATTCTGCTGGGCTGCCAGGGCACGGAAAGTCAAGAGCTAGAGGAAACTGCAACTACTAAGGCACAAACAGTACCAGCTCACACCTCTCAAATGCTTGTTATGTGCCAGGCACTTGTCCAAGAAAGGCCTTTATATTTTGTATCAGCACATTCAACCCCCTCAATGAGAGAGGAACTGAGGTGGGAGCTATTATCCCCACTTTAAAGATGAGGAAATCAAGGCACACATAGGTTAAGCAACTTGCCAGCAGTCCCCCACCCTGGGAAGGGGTCAGGGCCAAGTCCCATCTGTGGCTCCCTTGGACGTCCGCCCCCCACGTCCCCTGCAACAAGTACCTCTGCGGAGGAAGGGGATGTGGTCGTCTTCCACAGAGCCAGGGGGCTCCCCGGGCTGGAAGTACATCACTTCCTGTGGGTGAGCCTGTAGCAGGTTCAAACGGTGCAGGCGCTTCTCTGGAGGTAGTGGGGATTAGGGAGCCAAAGTCAGTCCCCTCAGGGGTCAAAGGTTTTGCTCAGAAATCAGAGGGCAGGGGGTCTGAAGGTAAAGCACTGGTCACCCCAGTGTGAGAATGAATGTTAGTTCCCCCTTCCTGCAGCTGTACTGTGCTCCCCGGTTGTCATGAGCAGCATGCCCACTTTACAGACAGGAAATGGAGGCTCAGGGATGAAGCCGCTTGCCCAAGTTCACACAGCCGGTAAGGAGAGCCAAGATTCGAACCCAGGGCTACCTGACCCCCTGCCCTGTTTACAATCACGACAGCTGTGGGATCTGTTTGTGTCTTGCCCTTTGTGTTAGTGCCATAGAGAGAAGGCTGGATGACCCCTCAGAGGACAGGTGCCTGCCCCACCCCGACCCTCCCACCTGCATTCCAGGCTGGAGCCTGCCTCCACCGTCACCCTTACCGATGCTCTTCAGCCGATGGAACCAGCGGGCTGTGCGGGGGAAGTGGCTGTAGAAGGTTGGGTGGGGGGCTCCCAGGAGATCAAGAAGCATAAAGAGCTCCTAGGGAGAGAGAGAGGCCAGGCTGGAGAGGCCAGGTGGGATGCTGCCAACCTTACCTTACCCCCTCCCGCCCTCACCGAACCCAGTGGGGCCCTGGTCTTACAATAGCCTGGATCCTGGTGGGGCCAGGACTGTGGGGTGCAGACTCCATGAGCTGGGCCAGGTGCCGGGAGCCATAGAGGGAGTCCTTGGGTCCCCACTCCTTCAGCGCCTCTTCGCCGTCCAAGAAGAGCAGCTGCAGGGTCACTGGGGCTGCCTGTGGGAGCTGGTGCTCAGTGTCAGCCCTGATCTTGACCCACCCCATTCCCTGCCCCCTGCAAAGCTGAATGGGACAAACTAGGTCTCCTCACTCATAGAGCATAGACTGAGCCAGACCGCCTGGGTTCAAATCCTGGCTCAGCTGTTTCCTAGCCAAGCAGTCATGGGTAAGTTACTAACTTCTCAAAGCATCAGTATCCTCATGTAGAAATGGGGTTAAAAGAAAGAGAGAGAGAGAGAGAGAGAGAAATGGTGTTAATAACAGTTCTATTTATAGGGTAGGATTCGAACCAGGTCCTAGACTAGTAACTGGCACATAGTAACTAAAGGGTTAGCTCTGATTATTATCATTATTCCTCTAGCCCGTTTTGTAAAAGACACACACCCAGAAATGAATAATTATACAAACAGTGAAATGCAGTTGAGACCAATTGCTCCCAAAAATTACAGGGTCCTGAAAGAACACAGGAAGGGCGTGGAGGATAAATGGACCGGGGGCATGTTGGTCTGTGGGAAAGATGTTTGTACTGAGGGTAAGTGGGAGCTGGCCTGGCAAACCGGGTCAGAGGCTATTTCTAGATAAGGGAAAACACATCTGTTCCCAGGCAAGGAAGCAATATGGACCAGGGCTGGGCCAGAGATGGGGTCAGGGAAAGTTTGAGAAGTGGCCTGAGGGGTCAGCAAGGGCCAGGGAGCTTGGGCTTTGGGGCACTGGGAAGGGGGGGGGGCGTCTAAGCAAGGGAGGAGCATGAGGAAACTAGTGTTTTCTTTTTTAAAAATATATTTTATTGATTTTTTACAGAGAGGAAGGTAGAGGGATAGAGAATTGGAAACATCAGATGAGAGAGAAACATCAATCAGCTGCCTCCTGCACAAGCCCCACTGGGAATGTGCCTGCAACAAAGGTACATGCCCTTGACCGGAATCGAACCCGGGACCCTCCAGTCCCCAGGCCAACACTCTATCCACTGAGCCAAACCGGTCAGGGCAAAACTAGTGTTTTCATTCATTCATTCCACGTATCTTATTTTTTATTTTTTCCTATTTCCACTCATTTTAATTGACATCTTACTTCATTCCAGGCAATACTCTGGGCCCAGGGAATAGAGCAGAAACAAAGCAGCCAAGTCCCTGACTAGATGGAGCTTATTCTAGTGTGAGACAGACAAACAAACAAATCAACATAAGCATCACAAATCATGGGAAGGCCTTGTTGAGGAGGTAACATCAGAATGGACACCTGAATGAAGGATGGGAGCCAGCTAGGAAGATAACCGAGAAAAGCACATTTGCCCTAGCCGGTTCGGCTCAGTGGATAGAGCGTCAGCCTGGGGACTGGAGGGTACCGGGTTCGATTCCGGCCAAGGGCACATGCCTGGGTTGTGGGCTCTATTCCCAGTAGGGGGCGTGCAGGAGGCAGCCAATCAATGATTCTCTCTCATCAATGATGTTTCTATCTCTCTATCCTTCTCCCTTCCTCTCTGAAATCAATAAAAATATATTGAATGAAGGAAAGAAAGAAAGAAAAAGAGAAAGAAAGAAAAGCACATCCTAGCAAGTACAAATGCTCCTCAGGAAGTTATCCTTGTGGATTTGAGGTACACAAGGCAGTAGGTAGCTAGAGTAGGATGAGCAAGGGGCGAGGGGTAGCAGATGAGACTAGAGAGGTAACTAGTAGGATGGGGCGCATCTCATGGGCCACTATAAAAACTCTCTGGCTTATGCATGGAATAATGTAGGGGCCATGGGAGAATTTGGGGCAGAGAAGGGACAGGATCTGACATTCAGGAGTTGGAAAGATCCCAGTGGCTTTGTATGTGTAGTGGTGACAGGAAAACAAGACCAGGCAAGGGAGGGTGGTGGCTTCAACCAGGGGAGAGGTTGTCCCTGCCTTCCCCCCGCCACTCCCCCCATTCCTCACCTGATCCTTGGTTCTACTCAGTTCCTGGTCCAGGGCCTGGGCCAGCTCCAGTAGCAGGGCACAAGGCACAGCTGAATCCGTGGCCCCCACAAATGGGGCTGACTCAGATGGGAAGAGCTTCGAGTCATAATGGCAGGCAAGGGTGAGGTGACGGGCAGCCCCTGGGTCCAGTGTGGCCACCACATTGGCAAAGTCCAGTGGTCCCAGGGGCGTTGAGGCTGTGAAGGGGTCCAGCTCCACGTGCCAGCCTGCCGTCAGGGTCCGCAAAGTGGCCTCCAGGAACTAGTGGCAAGAGAGAGGTGGGTGGGGGTACTGGGGAGTATAGAGGGAAAAGGGCCATGTGACCTGAGCCATGCAGAGCAGTCGGGTTGACTCACAAGTCCCACTTCAGTTTTAATCATTCCTTTCACACTTCTGCTAAGTACCTATTAAGTGCCATGGAATGACCCCACCTCTTGATGCCAAGACTAACCACAGCTCACTCCTCAAAAGCACTCACCGTGTGCCAAGCCCTGTTCTAGGAACTCTGTGGGTAGGGACCATCAGTGGCTCAATTCAAAGATGAGGAAACTGGGGGTCAGGGCGCTTAGGAAACTACTCCAGGGTCACACTCCAAGGGGCTGAAGTGGGATTTGAACTCGGGTAGTATTCAAATGACTCTGGCTGCTTTCTGGGGGGCAATATAGAGACATTACAGCACCAGCTCTGGAGCCAACCTGTTTGGATTGAAACCGTAGGTACACCATGTACTAGCTGTGGGATTTGGGCAAAAAAGGCCCAACTGCTCTGGGCCTCAGTTTCCCCGTCTGCATAGTGAAGGTCCCATTGGTACCCACTTCATAAGGCTGTTGTTACTTGTGCCAAGCACATAGTAGGCTTTTAGTGGGGGCGGGACAGAGGACAGTACAGCCTGGTGGTCACTTACTCTAGAGTCAGAGTAAGACTAGCTCCACCCTCTGTGGGTCTTGGGCAGAACGCCTATTTCCCGTTCCCTAGCGGTCTGAGGGGTCAGGTGTGAGTGTCCCTTTACCTTTCTGACTTGGAGGCTGCCCGGGCTGCCCGGCGTTCGCACAACCAGCAGGGGGCGCAGGTAAGTGTTCCAGAGACGCTGGGGGTCCAGTTGCCCCACCACCTTCCGCATTCGGGCTTCGGGGAGGCTCGCGATCAATGGGCCCTTGGGTAGGGGGTGGGATGGGGAAAAGATGAGCGTGAGAGCAACCCTCCTTCTGACCCTACTCCGGGCGCCGACGCCCCTAAGAAGCCCCGGTTCCTTTTCCTAATTGCAGGTTCCCGCATCAGAGGTGTCTAGGATAAACCCTAGTCACAGGAAAAGCCCATCCTGTCCATCCTACCCAAATCCTGATCGGCGAGAGGAAGGGACTCTTCCAAATAGACGACTTTAGGATTAGAGCCCAGAAATCCCAATTTCACCACCACAGACCCTTCCTCTTAAAGAGGAGCCACTATTACAGAACAAGCCTGAAGCCTCGTTCCGTTAACAAGGGGGATGCGTCCTAAAGACCACGGCAGTGGCACCTGCAGCTTAGGACGTGATAAAGCCACGTCCACCCGAAACCTTAGGTAGGGGGAGGAGAGAGATGAGGGGCCCCCGTGGTGCCCCCGCCGGGCCTCACCCGCAGCTCCCGGCCGGGGGGCAGCTCCTCAGCCGGCGATTGGGCGGGGAGGGTGGCTGCAAGAGGCCGCGTCCCCCGAGCCGTAGCCGGGGCCGCCCGCGGCCCCCGGAACGCATGGTAGCTTTGCCCAGAAACCGGTCCTGGACCGCGGATCGAATTTAGGCCCATCCAAGTCCCACCCCATGGAATTACTGGGCCAATGAGCAACAAGAGCGGCTGCACCATCCCACCCTCCCGCGAGCAGCGAAGCCAATAGGGACTCTCGTTCTGAGGCCACGCCCCCACAGCCTCCCAGCAGCTTAGGCAACGATTCCCCAGAGAGTTACACAACCGTAAAGGGAGCGCGAAAGGGGTAGGCTCCGCCTCAGCGTGAGAGGGGAAACCAATGAGAAGCGTTTAATTATGGAAAACCTTCGACTTCCCGGGCGTGAGTCCACGCCCCTCCCGGATGTAGGCAAAGCTTTGGTTTCGTGGAGTCGGAAAGATCAATAGACACGTAAACGAACCTTCCCCCAAGAGAAAGAGGCGGGGTCTATCCCCGAAAGAGAAGAGCGGATTGGCTTATCGGAGACCCCGCCCCCGAAGGGCGGGCCGGCGGGCCTTTAGAACTGGCGCATCCTTTCCCTTGAGCCACCTGAGCCGTTCTTCCACAAAATGGTCTAAATCGGACCCGCTTTCTTTTTCTCTCCGTTATCGTGAACATCTAACCTGCATGGTCCTGAGTGACCCTGAACCACTAAGCAATGCTTTTACCCCAACGCCTCTACCAAGGAACTGAATAGAACCAAGGCGGGCTCGCTGGACCAACAGGCCACACCCACACCGCTGGTTGAGTTTGCGCAGGCGCGCACGGAAGTGAGCTGCGGGAAGCGGAAGTCCCGCCTTTCTCGCGCTTTCTCTTTGGAGGCCGAGGCAACGCGGAGGACCGGAGCGTTCTGAGAGCGCAACCACCGCCACCATGTGAGGCCGGGGAGGCTTAAACGGCGGGAATGGGTGGAGGGTGCAAATTTGGCCACTTAACGGTGAAAGGGGATGGGCAGAGCGGGGCGCGGAGACGGGGGTTTTAGGGGTCGAGTGGGGTACTGTTCTGTTGAGTTTGAGAACGCGCGTGGGGCTTTTGACGGCGCCTGAGTTCCGGAGAGGGAACAGCTCTATCAGATAACGGGCTGGCGGCTTTTCCAAATAATTAGCCTTCCTGAAATGAATTTTAAGCGGGAGCGATTTTACGAATACAGAACCTCGAGAGGAAAAATGCGGAATTGTGGGAATAACGACTTGAGATGAGGGACTATCCGGATAATTTGAGCTGGGGACCTAATTCGTGACACTTTCTAATAATGAGACGCAGGAATGGTTTTTAGTCATTTATCCATGGAGCAATTACTGAAGTGCTCGTGTATCAGGCACTGCTTTACCTACCTGGGGCCTAGCAGTGAATTCCCCTCCCCCAAGAAAAGTCCTCTGCTCAGCTTATGGGGAGGGAAGAGGCAAGTGGTAAATGTAATAATAATAAGCAGGTAAAGTATATGGTGTGTTAGGTGACCGGGGCTACGAATAAAGAAACGAGAGAGCAGAGTAAAAACAACGCTAATGGCAATTTTGAGAGACAGTAACTTAACTCGCACAGAAGGGCACGTGTAAAGAAAGTGAGAGAACGAGCCACAGAGATACCTGGAGAGGCATCCAGGCAGAGGCCCAGGATGAAAATTTGCCGAATATCTCAACCACCCAGGAGGCCACTGTGGCTGCAACAGAGTGAAAGAGATGGGTAGATGCAGGGCCTGGTAAAAATGTTGGATTTTGCTTTTTTGCACTGAGATAGGAGCCCTGAGAGGATTTTGAAGATCGAGATGACGTGATTTAGGTCTTGGTTCCATAGAGCACTGCCGGGCAGTGTAGGGAGACCAGCCAGACTCTAGGCAAGAGGTGATGGAGGGGCAGGACGTGGTAAGAGATGGCTGGATTCTGGATATATTTTAGAGGTGGATGACAGGCTTTGTAGACAGGTTGAATGTAGGACGTCAGAGAAAGAAGAGAATCAAGTTGACACCGGTTTTTGCTCGAAGAACTGGGAGGGTGGTGTTACCCTTGATGGAGATGAGGAAGGCTGTGGCTAGAGTAAGTGGAGCTGGTTGGGCATTGTGGAGCTCGGTCTAGGATGGGCAAGACTGGAAATCTGTTAGGCATCCAGATGGTGATGCCGTGCGAGGCCTGCGGAGGGTGGGTGTGCTGGGGGAAAGGTTGGGAAGGCGCGGGAGCGACACCCCTGCGCCTGCTCCGAGCGCTCTCACCTGTGGGTTTCATACTTGCCCACTCAGGAGCCTTCTCAACAAGCCCAAGAGTGAGATGACCCCGGAGGAGCTGCAGAAGCGGGAGGAGGAGGAGTTCAACACGGGCCCGCTCTCCGTGCTCACGCAGTCCGTCAAGAACAACACCCAGGTGCTCATCAACTGTCGCAACAACAAGAAGCTCCTGGGCCGGGTGAAGGCTTTCGACAGGTGAGGGCTTTTTGACGGGGTCGTGGGAGGGGTTCTGTCCCGGCCTGGAGAATCAGCCCCAGCTGCAGCCCGAGGAGCCCCCAGCCCAGGTTCCTCAGAAGCTAGGACAGGGATGGCGAACCTTTGGAGCTCAGCGTGTCAGCATTTTGAAAAACCCTAACTTAACTCTGGTGCCGTGTCACATATAGAAATGTTTTGGTATTTGCAGCCATAGTAAAACAAAGATTTATATTTTTTGATATTTATTTTATATATTTAAATGCCGTTTAACAAAGAAAAGTCAACCAAAAAAATGAGTGCGTGTCATAGGTTCTCCATCACTGAGCTGACCGTCTCTTGCTGGAGGGGCATCTACTTAGGAGCCGGTCCCCGTGGGTTCATGTCCCAGCGCTGTCTCTTAGCAGCCACATGACCTTTGGCAGGTGACTATCGTGTCTGTACAGTGGCAATAATCATGGTGGTTGCAAAGGTTCAACGGCTTAATACATGTGAAGTGTAATAAGTCTCTAGAAGCACAGTATCTGGCACACAGGCGCTTCTCAATCTAGGTATTGCATAATTAGAGTGTGCACTGTTCCAGGTACTGTTTTAGGCTCTGGAGACACAGCAGTGACTAAAACACACATGGTTTCTAAACTCAGGGAGCTTGTTATAGGCAGGAAAGCCGACAGGAATTGGTAAGTTCTACGGAGAAAAGTAAAGCCAGGTAAGAATACGGAGCATTGGGGAAGGGAGTGCTGTATTATATGGGTAATCAGAGAGGCCCCATCTAAAGAGACAGCGACAGCGATGAACAGAGCTGAATAAGATGAACAAGCCATCTAGGGTCTGCGTGTTTCAGCCGCAGGGAACGTGCCCTTCACCAGAATTGAACCCGGGACCCTTCAGTCTGCGGGCCGACGTTCTGGCCACTGAGCCAAACCGGCTCGGGCTGTAATTCGTACTTTTCCGTTAGCATTTGTAAAATGCTTTCCTCACAGCAGTGTGCTGAGGCTGCTTCTGGAACATTTTGGCCACTAGCTGTGACATGAAGTCTCCCTCTGAGCCTCCCTTTCCTCTTGAGTAAAACGGGAATTAGAACAGGAAGTGCTGAGCACAAGGAAGCAGGTAGACCTGGATTGGAACGCTGGCTCTGTCACTTCCAAAATGTGTGACCTGGGCTGAGTCACGTCATCCCACTGTGTTCAGTTTTCTGCTGTAGAAGTGGGAGGTAACACTGGTGTTTACCTCCTGGATGAGATGCAGTGATTGAAGGCATGTACTTTATTTCTCTCTCTCTCTCTCATTTTATTTTAAGTTGACTCCTTTTTCTTTTCCCCTATTTCCTCCTCTAGTCCATATAACCCTCCTACCTCTCCAGCCCTCCCAGCCTCCCACCCTAGTATGAATCCTGCCACATTTGAATCAGGGAATCTTTTGTGGTGTTGGTTACAGCTTTATTGAAGTATAATTGACCTGTCGTAATATCATAACATTAAAATCAATTGTTTTTTGTTGTTGTTAATCCTCACCGGGGATATTTTTGGGAATCCAGCCTGCAACTGAGGTATGTGCCCTTGCGCCTTTAGTTTGCAGGCTGATGCTCGATCCACTGAGCCAAAGTGGCTAGGGCAGCACACAGTTCTAAGCCGTGGCTTTTTCATTTAGTAACAGTCCAATAAAAAGATTCCATCCAGCTTGTCCCCTGGGTCACTCCACTGCCGCCAATCTCTAGGGGTCTTCCTAGGATTCTGCATTGTACAAGCAAGTGGGTGGTAGACCTCACCCCTCTTTTCCTACAAAAGGTGACTTTCCATGTATTCTGTTCCCCCTTTTCCTTTTTCACTCAACAGGATCTGGTGGTTACTCCATAGCAAGGCACAGAGCTTCCTGTCTTTTTTCTCTCTACATTTTCTTTCCTTTTTTTTGATTGATTTCTGAGAAGAAGGGAGAGGGAGAAAGAGATAGAAACATCAATGAAGAGAGAGGATCATGGATTGGCTGCCTCCTGCACACCTCACACTGGGGATTGAGCCCTTCATAGGTCGACTCTCAACCATTGAGCCATGCCAGTGGGGCCTTCCCAACATTTTTATTTATATATTTATATATATATTTTATTTCAGAGAGGAAGGGAGAAAGAGAGAGAAACATCAGTGATGACAGAGAATCATTGATCAGCTGCCTTCTGTACGCCCCCTACTGGGTATCGAGCCCACAATGGGGGTATGTGCCCTTCACCAGAATCGAACCTGGGACCCTTCAGTGCACAGGCTGATGCTCTGACCACTGAGCTAAACCGGTTAGGACTCCCTACATTTTTTTTTTAAGATTATTTTTTAATGATTTTCAGAGAGAAAGAAAAACATCGATGTGATAGCGTAACATCTGTCGGTTGCCTCCCGCATGCACCCCCACCAGGGATCTAGTCCACAACCTGGGCATGTGCCCTGACCAGCAATTGAACTGGAAACCTTTTGGTGTGTGAGGCAGTGCTCAACCAACTGAGCCACCCCAGCCAGGGCTCCTCATTCATCTTAATTTTTTTTTTCTTAGCATTTGAAGATATTTCTGTATATCCTCTTATCCAGCGGTTCTCAACCTGAGGGTCGCGACCCCTCTGGGGATTGAACGACTCACAAGGGTCGCCTAAGACCATCGGAAAACACATATATAATTACATATTGTTTTTGTGATTAATCACTACTACATTGTTACAAATTAAACATAATGAAAGCATAGTGATTAATGAGGAACTGTGTTAAAGGGTCACGGCATTAGGAAGGTTGAGAACCACTGCTCTTATCCCTTCACCTTGCTTTAGTTTTTCTTCGTAGCAGTTACCACATGACAGCATGTTACAGGTCCAGGCTCTGTTCGCTTGCTTAGCATCCTCTCCTCACTAGAATGCACACCCCATCGGGACAGGGATAATGTCTGTTTTGTTCATTGCAAGTGTTTGTTGAGTGGAGTAAAGCATACTGTCTTCACACGAGCCTACCCAGGCCCCAGGGGCCTCTGATTCTCCAAAGAGAAGCAGCTCCTTCGCTGATGCCTCCAGAAGTGGTGGGAGTTGAAAAGCAGAGGCAGCCCTAGCCAGTTTTGCTCAGTGGATAGAGCATCGGCCCTTGGACTGAAGGGTCCCAGGTTTGAATCCAGTCAAGGACACCTACCTCGGTTTCTGGCTCAATCCCTGGCCGGGGCACATGCAGGAGGCAAGGAATCCATGTGTCTCTTTCACATCGATGTTTCTCTGTCTCCCTTCCACTCTAAAAATCCGTGGGA